AATTACATCAATAAAGACATAATCAAACCCTCACATACAGTCTTAGTGAAAATTATGTTCTTGTGTGGAAAGTACTTATATTTAAAATTGTGTTCCACTGTAAAGAAATGGTTGTTGCACATACCACATTTATTGTCTGAAACTTGAATACCCGAAGTGTGTTATTTTTTTTTTTTTTAATCGATTTTTGTTTGTGGTGCCATTAGATAGATGGTGCAGGAGTTTTGGTTACATACATATATACTGATATACATGCTACATCCATTGTAGTAAAAAGATGTATGTATACTAAGAATTATGCATTAAATTTTGAAATGTTTCGTGTCATGTTCATTTGGGAGGTTTCATGAAGAATTTATCCCTTTATCCAAAGAAGCATGGACTATTCTATGCACTAACTCATGACACAGGTTTCACACCTGAGATTCCTGTTTTCTTACTCGTTCCAAAACTCAAGCCTTGAATCAGTAATGAGACAAAAAAAAATGATATGGATAATATCTAGCATAAAATTAATGACCAGTATCTTACATCAATCATCTATAAGGCACACACGACCTTGAAAGTGAAGCATGAAAATGCTGCAAGTATAAATGAGCATTACATACTTGTATGCACAACTGGAAGAGAATCCTTCATTTTTCTTCACTGCTCATGTAACATTTTTAACATACTACAGAGAGTCGAGTACGATATATGAAAATGTTTCTGATTATGCAAATAAGCAAGTCAGATGACAAAGACAACCAATATAAAGTCACAGTGAAATGGCATTATCAGAACTACATTTTGTTATTGTTTGGCATTTCATAGCTAGCAATCACTTTTAGGAAGAGTATGTAATAGTCCTTTCCAAAACAAAATATACATTCACTCAGATCATAAAAAATGTGTTCTGATAGGAGACTAAGAATTTTCAAGACAGGAAATGTCCATTGTTCTTTTTAATGGCATGGGAAAACAAAGAAACATGGATCAACTTGAGGCACCACCACTATCCATAAAGTCATACCCCAGCTATGGTAAGCAATATGCAACATTTTGTTACAGGTGAAAATCCACAAACACATGAATGACAAAAGCCATCCATGTACCCCAAGCAACAATGTGCAAGATAATCAAGAAAAATCTTTGTCTAGAAAATTGCTATATTAAAAACATTTTGAGCATGTAAATCAGAAAACCACATGACATCTACAGCCATTATAAAGTTGTGGTGGAATTCAATATATCAGAACTACAATTTGACATTGCTTGCCATTTCACAGTTAGTGTAATACTACCAAAAATGTATCACTTTTGGGAAGAGTACGTACAGCCTTAAACAAAACAAAACATTCATACACTCAGATCAAAATGTGTTCAAATCAGGGAATTTGTATTTTCAAGATGGGAATATCCTTTGTACTTAACGGTGTTGGAAAATAAAGGAATATGGATTAATTTAGGGCAGTAGAACTAACCAAAAAGTTCAGCAAGTCATACATCATGAGTAAAACAAATTTCTGTAAGTAGCAAACAGCATGTCTCAAAACTTTTTTGAATGGACCCATGTAATGCATCGGGGGGGGGGGGGATTGTTGTCTGTGACACTGTGATGTACTCTGGTGAATATTAACTTTGAAACTGGTAAAAGTTGAAGATTTTCACCACAAACTTGTACGATCATTATGTAATAATAATAAGTCCAAGTAGTCATCCAATTAGCCTAACAATCAGGCTGATTACTGTTTGTCTTCAAAAGTGCAATAAGTGACAGCTTATAAACTATCGGTGCTATTATAGCTTGCAGTCTACACAGATACTATCATCATCACCATTTTAATGATTCACTAAAACATAATTTCTTGCTAAGTAATTCATATTTATCCACATTTTTGTTCATCAAATAATAATAATTTAATAAGTTGTGTGTTCCAAAAAAAGAGTACCTTAAATTCAGATTACAATTGTGCTAGTTTTCATTGTTGAGATTTATTTCATTCCAATTATATTTGCCCCTAAAACGTTATGTAATGGTATTTTGTACTTTATTAGTTTAAAAGTGTTATTTATAATAAATGGTGCCAATTGCAAATAAATGAAAGTTAAAATGGTGATGATGATGATAGTATCTGAGTAGACTGCACAGTGTAAATATCTGTGTAGACTGCACACTATAGTGTAAATACCTTTATAGATCACATGCTATTGTAGTACCCCTTACAAACAAGTTGCTTGATAATCCAATAATATTTTTTTTCTTTTGATTGCAAGGTGTGTAGGTATGAAGACCAGACTAAACAGATGTGACCTATTACCACCTCACCCATAAATATTTACAGCAATCTGACAGCACTCTCTCATTTTATTGGTAGTTGCATGACTGAGGTTTCTTCACTGACAAGAAACTATGTGATATCAAGGAACTTGGCTATTTGGTAAAAGTGTATACTTTATACATGTGCCTGACACTTGCCTCAAAACACGTGTTTGATATCAGCAATTATTCTGATCAACAAATGCATTAGAGTACTAAGACTTATGCATTTGTATACCTTTCTCATGTGTGCAAAACAAAATTTATGTAACGAATGTACACTTAAGACATGATTTTTGTGTCTTAGATGCTCAGGGTTTCCAGGTTATCCAGGATCTTGTTATGGATCAGGGGAGTGGATACAAAGGTCAAGGTAAAACAATATTCTGGACAATATATACCACACAGAAATACTGGCTTTATATGAAAATGAGGCCAACAGGTATGGGTTCACCTAGATGAGGCTTCCAGTCACACTTTCTGATCAAATTCTACATACCTCAAGCAGATGGGGAATGAAACAGATATTCATACTATTCTATAAAAAAGACATACTAGTCAAAGTGCAATTTCTATGTGATCAGACTGATGAAACAGACCCTGGGAAACTGTTGTACACATACACATGATAGATTATGGAAACCAATAGGGGAAGCATGGTGTGCTGTGGAAAGCATAACCTTTTCTAATAGCAATTATGTTTCAAAAACTTAGTCAAGATGCATGATCAGATGGATTGTAATAACATGGCGAAGCCTCAAAATAGTTTTAATATAACTTTATGTATAAGAACAAAGGACCATTGTTTCTTCAATGGTGTTTTTGCACATCCAACTTTGAGAAAAGTAAAATTTGAAACCCACTCTTTACTCTCCAGGAAATAATAGATGCCCCTCTTAAACTCCTGTAAAGTATTGGCCTCCACTACTGCTAATGGCAACTCATTCCATAACTCAATCTCCATGTTAGAAAAATAAAAATGCCTTAAATGGAGTTTTGCTTTACTTATTAAAATTTTTAACTTGTGTCCTCTCATCCTTTTATCGTAAAATAAACATGAAAGCCTTTATCCTATGAATTCCCAGATAATCTTGTAAACTTCAAAACATCACTTCTTACCCTTTCTTTCTCAAGAAAAATTAGAGATCTCAACTTATCCTGTAAAATAAACCCTTTTATTCCAGGATAATCTTAATATCCCTCTTTGAACCTTTTTAGTATGTCTATATCCTTTTTTAAATGAGGAGACCAAAACTTTACACTATTCCAAGTGAAGCCTCGGTACATTATGTTATATGAAATTCAGCCTTGACTGAAATTCAATCACAGGCTGTTAAGTTTCAGTTAAGGCCGACTTTCATATAACATAATATATAGAGCAGTACCACTGTACACGTGGGTGTTTTATTATTGGATTACATTTTTCACATAAAATGAACAAAATTAGATAACTTCACCTTTAAATACTCTGACCATTTTGTCAATAGTTACTTGTTTGAGATAATTACCTTTTTTGACTTGCAAGCAATATGTCTATAAATACAACATAAAATGCTATTACTAACCTTATTAGCTCTACTACTACCACAGAGCACTGCTTCCATGAATTGAGTGATTTACTTTCCACTATACCAAGATCCTTTTCTTCAATCTTATTATTCAGTCACAAATATTATATGCATGATCCAAATTATGTTAACCCATATGTGTTACTTTGCACTTATTATAATTAAAGTCATTTACCAAATATTTGTCCAAGTTCCCAATTGATACAATTCATTCTGTAATACCTCAACATCTTCAATAGCCAGAAACACCACAGAGTTTAATGACATCAGCAAACTTAACTAATTATGCCCCTTTCAACATCATTGAAGTAAATAGCAAAAGGCACATGCTCAAACATTAACCTCTGAAGTACTTTACTAGCAACAAGGATCCAACTTGACTAGACTCCATTAATAGCAATGTTTTGCTTCCTCTCATCCAACAACCAAATAATCCACCCCCACTCCTTACCAATAAGATTTTCTTAATTAATCCTTTGTATGGCACCTTATCAAAAGCTTTTACTTTTAGAAAATCTAAGCACACCAAGACCATACTCTTTCCACTGTCCATAACAATTAACATATAACATACTTGTTGAATAAAGATAATGGATTAAAAATGCAAAAGCTATGTCAAATTTAATTATAAATTTTTTAATTATATATTTTCTCATCTTACAAAACCAATTTTTAAATACTTTTATGAATATTTGATCTACAGTGGTATTGAATACAGATCCACATAGCACAAGTTTTTCTAATGAAATTGAAATGGCTTTTTCACTTTTACTTTCAGTTTCACTACCACTGTACCAGTACTAATGTTGTTGTTTTTGTTGTTGTAGAAGCTGCTTCAATCGAGAGGATCAATGTACGTGAAAAAGGCACTAAATAATCTTCAATTAAAATATTTCTATTACTACAATAATATTCTGAGCATGAATTTTAATATTTTTAATTCTAACCGAAACCTAACGCTATACGACTAGTTTCATAGTAGTGTGGTAACCAACCTAGCTAGGCCTACAATACTCTCAAAATGTAAGTTAAACTAGTCTACAGTGCTTCAAAGATAAAAAAATTATCTTTCATTTGTTGTTGTTTTTAATTTGTTGAAAGCATATATTTAAATTGACTTAGAACAAACGTACCTGATCGCCGTTACCACTAACCAATTCATAGAATATCGATGATAGGAAACAACCACTAACATTCACAGACAAATTCTGAACCGCCATTATTGAGTATTTCGTTTAGACTAGGCCCTATCATTATCAAAATGAAAAATTGGTTTCTTTGAAATAATGTTGAATATTATTGTAAATTATCGCTAATCAACAAAATATTTTTTGTTGTCGTATGAAAATAACAACGCAATGTTTAGATCTTTAAAATACTTATTAATATTTTATGGACCGATTTGCCGCTTCATTTTTTTATTAGTAGTAGTAGTAATAGCCTGTTCGTTTCTATTGCATACATATTGTAAAATAATAGATTAACGTTAACAGATGTAGAATGTATTATTATCACCATTTGCTAGTTTTTCCTAGATTATAAGCCACAGAAAGTTTGTTTGTTTGAAGTTAAGCACAAAGCAACAGAATGAGCTATCTGTGTTCTGCCAACCACGAGTATCGAAACCCGGTTTCTAGCGCTGTAACTCTGTAAGTCCGCGGCCACAGAAAGATATATATTTATAGTTGACTTTGAATTTAGAGCTATGGCATTTTCTATGTTGTTAAATTTCTTGAACAAATTTGAAATTCTGAACAAGCTGTCAAAAAAATCTGCAGTTTCCTTTTTTTTTAGTATTCACTAGGAATTTAAACATTTTATTTTTGTATCATGTACACATTATATAAAGTTGGTGATAATAAGTCACTCGTTTTTTTTATAATTTAAAACCATGTTCGTGAAGTGTAAAATTACAACCCAAGGAAACTTGCATTGACTATGCCATTTCCAGTAATTGGGAACATTAATCTGGTTACTGATTTTTTACTTAATAGTGACATTAAGCTCTTTTAACATTTTATTAGTCTGTGATTGATGTCTTATTGTATGTATCAGGTTTACGACAAAAAATTAAATTAGTACTATTGTAAAAGTTAAGTAATGTCAAGAACAGGCTATGCACTAATAAAACTAAATTTCAGTTTATAAGTCTAACACAAATGTTGTTTAATAAATGTGTCCTTTATGTAGTTATACGATCTCTAGTAAGAAAAAACTAAATGCTGTTGAGGGTTTGTTGTTTTTAATTCTTTTTTATTCTATCTTCTGAAATTGGTAAAAAAAGAAAATTATATTGTGTATTAAATATTACATAGATATGTAAAAGAACGTCCAACGATGTATATTGTTGCGTCAGCGAGGTCACGTGACTAGTATCACGCCACTTCCTTCTCGAACTTTCGTGAATTGTCGGGAGATTACTAGATTGGGGGTAGTCTGGTATATATAAGATGGTCATAACGTGACGGCACAGTGTGTAAGGTAATGAGTAATTGAACTGCAGTCAGAGA